ATGATATAATGATCGCCACGAAATCTGCTGACGAACATTTACAAATTTTGACAGAAGTGTTCGACAGACTAGTAAATAATAAATTAGAGCTGCGTTTAGATAAGTGTAGATTCATGGAATCAAAAATAAACTATCTAGGCTATATAATTTCTAAAGAAGGGATACAACCTGACGGGAAGAATATAGAATCAGTTGTTAATTTTCCAGTGCCGCATAACGCTAAAACAGTTCATAGTTTTCTTGGATTGTGTTCATATTTTAGAAGATTTATTCAACAGTTTTCATTATTGGCACAACCATTATATGACTTAGTTCGCAAGAACTCAGTTTTTCAGTTTGGACTAAAAGAAGTAGAATGTTTTGAAACTCTTAAACAAAAATTAATTGATGCTCCTATTCTTGCGATATACGACCCAAGAGACCAAACAGAACTACACTGTGATGCTAGTTCACATGGTTTCGGGGCTATAATGTTACAAAAAAAGGGGGATGGTAAGCTTCACCCAATTTTCTATTTTTCAAAAAGAACAACTGAACATGAATTAAAATATCACAGTTTCGAGTTAGAAACATTAGCTATTATTTATGCTCTACGCAGATTCAGGATATATTTACATGGAATAAAATTTAAAATTGTAACCGATTGTCATTCATTAGCGTTAACCTTAAACAAAAAAGAAATAAATCCCAGGATAGCCAGATGGGCCCTGGAGTTAGAAAATTTTGATTACTCTTTAGAGCACCGTAAAGGAGAAAAGATGCAGCACGTAGATGCACTTAGTAGAAACACGAATATACTAGTGTTAGAAGAAAATACTTTTGAACAAAATCTATCCATATGTCAGTACCAAGATGAAGTAATTAATGAGATAAGGAAGAAATTAGAAAAAGAAGAGAGTAGTTACTTTGAAATGAGAAATGGGTTGGTCTATAAAAAGAAAGGAAACACCATACTGTTTTATGTGCCAAACAATATGGAGAGGAATATACTACAGCTTTATCATGATGATATGGGACATTTCGGATGCGATAAAGTTGCTGATTCTATGTATACTTAAATCTTATTGGTTTCCGAAACTCAGAACAAAAATAAAAGATCATATCGCCAATTGTCTAAAGTGTATAACTTTTTCAGCAAAGTGCGGAAAGCACGAGGGGTATTTACACAATATTCCAAAGGGCTTAGTCCCTTTTGAAACTGTCCACATTGATCATTTTGGTCCAGTTAAAATTAAAAATTCTAAAAAGAAGTATGTATTCTTGATAGTAGACGCTTTTTCTAAGTTTGTTAAATTGTATGCTACGCGAACAACTAGCACAAGAGAAGTTTTAGGGTGTTTAAAATCATATTTTAATTCGTATAGTAGACCAAATATTATTATTTCCGATCGAGGGAGTGCATTTACATCAAAAGACTTTGAAGATTTTCTTAGTTGCTGTAATATTCGACATATAAAAATCGCCACAGGTTCGCCACAAGCGAATGGTCAAGTAGAGAGAATAAATCGGAGTTTAGCACCAATGATTGCTAAAATGACTAACGCAGGGTATACAGCTTCGTTAGATAAAATTATGCCTGATATAGAGTTCGCTTTTAATAACACGATTCATAGAAGTACTGGAATAACACCGAGTGAACTATTATTTGGAATTAGACAAAAGGGAATGGTTGTGGACTATTTGAAAGAAAATTTAGACGAGTTAAGGGCTGATGACGTTCTGAGAGATCTTAGGCAAGTAAGACAAGAGGCTTCAGATCAAATTGTAAAAAATCAAAACTATAATAAATCGCTTAAAGACCGTCATAGAATTCAGAAAACATACAAAGAAGGAGAATATGTAGTTGTGAAAAATTTTGTTAGTGAGGCAGGCGCCAGTAAAAAGATTTTGCCAAAATATAAAGGACCCTATAGGATTACTAAAGTTCTACCTAATGACCGATATCTAGTAAAGGATGTAGAGGGATTCCAAGTTAGTCAGATACCTTATGAGGGGGTATGGGAAGCGGCAAATATTAAGCCATGGATTGGCAATTCATATCGAAAAGGTTCAATCGGGACGATTGCGGGTCAGGATGGCCGAACTGTGGCAACGCTAAATTAAAAGTGACACATAGTTTTTGACATACAGTATGAAACGAGTTAGTTATAGTTAAGCATTGTACGAGAAGAGTAAGAAATTGAAACGTGTTAAAAATAAAGGAAAAACTATTGCTTAAAGTATTAAACTCAAATATTTATAAAGCATTGGCTTCTAAACGGTTTAGTCGGTTTTTTTTGTATATTGATCAGGGTAAAAATTTTATTTTATTAAATTAATTATTTATATTTTTTTTTTATTATAAATATTAATAATTTATTATATATTACAATTTTTTATTAATATTGGTATTTACCCAATTATTTATAAAGATTTATCTTTTAAACGGTTTAGGTTGTTGTTTTTTATTTTTACATAATATTTATTTTTATTTTTTAATTTAATCTTTTTGAAAGTACTTATATAAAATAAGAATTAACCCATTTATTTATTTAATACTGCTAGATACGGCTTAAAGTCCAGAAAAAAGACTACCCTATATAAATTCAAATTTGAATTTTTCCATTTAATAACACTTCTGCAGATTTTTTTTAAAAAAAATATTAATTATTAAATTTTTTTTTAATTTTTGAAGACACATGTAATATTTCCGCATCTGGTCGTTTCCAATGATCCAGCATATTTTCCTGAACCAAAACGATTTATGCCCGAACGTTGGATGAAACAATTTGCACCATGTAAGTGTTATAATAAATTAATGATAATTACTACTCAAACAAATCAATTAAATTTTAATTAAAACTATCATTATCTAATAGCCACAGAATGTCCGTATGCAGGACAAAAAATTCATCCTTTCGTGAGTCTGCCTTTTGGTTTTGGACGGCGTATGTGTGTGGGACGTCGATTTGCTGAAATTGAATTAAATACGCTGCTCGCCAAGGTAAAGCATCATTCGCACTAACATATCATAAAAATACCAACAATTTAATTACATTTAATCTGTTTACAACTTTCACGCACATTTCAGATATTTCGGAAATATAAAGTGGAATACAATTCCGGTGAATTAGTATACAAAGTCAACTCAACCTACATACCAGAATCACCACTAAATTTTAAATTGACACTCAGGCAGGAATAAGCAAATAAAAGCATATTGCAATAATATATATTGTACGAATGACATTAGTTATTATAAGGTATTTTGTATTTTAGCACTTTTATTTTATTATATTTATATATGATTGAACGGTAACTAATGATTTTAAGACGGTAACTAATGCATAGATATAAGATTATTGTTTAAATGGAACCATTTTGTGTATAAGATAGTTTAATAAAATTCTTTTGTAAATATAAATGTTATAATAAAATCACTTACTATTTAGCGGAATCATTTAATTGATATTCGTTGCTACGTGAGAAGCATTCTTGAACACCAGAATCTTGCCACAATCTTTTCATAGCAGCTAGAAGTTCCTCTGAAAAGGGTTCCGTATCATGCATACGTTGACATACATCAAACACCATTTTCGCGTCGCTCTTTAAATAACATGCAACATTTAGTATCTTTATGTATACATATAGGTTTTTATAAACATCTAAGCATTACACACTATGTATACTTTGACATAACATATTACATAGGTGTAATACTTATGCATTTAGTATATGTGTAATTAGTAGATACTTACTTCTCGCTCATTATTGCTATACTGAATACTGAGGTTTGGCATTGCTCTAAGTATTGCAACTAATGATTGTATTGTGTTGCTGTACACAACTGGCCGATACTGTTTGAAATCTTCCGGAGTAAACCCGCTCTCGTGGATAATTTTCATTTGTTTAACTATTGTGCTTTTGCCAGATTCACCAGCACCTTAAATAAAAATAAAATATTGCAATTTTAAACAATATTTAATATTAAAATTTGATTTACATATTCATATATATGTAAATATTTAATATATTACATATTAAAATAGTAACATATGGCTTTTATTTAATTATAGTTTTGAAGGAAACAAGTATAAATTTATGTATAAATTTATATGTATAAATTTTACTAATGAATTTATCATCGACCAAACAAAAAAATATAATAAACTGGAAAATAGAAAAAAAAAATGAAATGATGGATAGCAATGAACAAAATCTTTGGAGCCCTTTCTCTAATGAGCCTAATAAAGCTGTTGTCCTTTAAAATTAGGAAATGAATGTGTCGTTCAAAGGGTTAGCGTACGAACAGTGCAAATCCCTGGTAACACAAAGGGCCGTTATTTGAGCTTAAATAGGTTTTGGTGCATAAGGCTGTCACTCTAACCTTAAATTGAAATCAACCCATTTACTCAAGAAAAAAAAATAATGATGTTCATTATCTCTTGTAATATGTTTGGTATTTCAATAACGTAGTAAAAATGTTACACGACTTAATAGAACTAATATCCTGTAACAGATTATGATATTACCATGTCAAGGTTTCTTTGATTAATATTTAAATAACAAATTTACTATATTTTTAATGCTGTAAATATTCGTAGGCATAAAAAAAATATTGATGAAATGTTTTTAATTTAAGCTTACTATATTGATATAATTGATATTGATATCGATATTGTTAACATTTGCTTAAACGATCATTTGTGCTTTGACTATAGGGTATTGATTGCTCTTTTATCACATAGCGAGATCAATATCCCGTAAAAGCAAATACCTCTAATATACAATCGGAAAGATATTGGTATTGTATATTAAGTAAAAAATTTAATATTAAATATGTTGAATTTAACTTAGAAGTGGTCCATATTCTTTAATTTTATTTTAATTCAAACATTCAAACCTATTCCTAATATAGAAATAAATAATATTAAAGAAACATTTAATTTGATTTTTTTTTTGCTTGATTAAGCCACTGTTTTGAATGTTGTGAAATACCCAACATTACTCTTCTTTGAAAATATTTCTTTCGTTTATTGGTCTACATATAATTTATTAAATGCAAGTATCAGACTTAGAAGATCTCGAATCACTTCTACAGATACGATATATTAACAGTAATCTTCTAAAAGGGCATCCAATCTTATTGAAAGAGTATTTCCAATGAATTTTAAATATAAATATTATGATTTTAATACCTCAGTCATTTCTAATATATTAAAACTTAATTGGGTTAGTTGCCATCATTTGTAGAATATAAATTTTGGAATAAGTTTGACATATACTCTTCAAAGAGAAATTTTATATACATCACCGACAAATATTGTACTCATAAATATTTCAATTATTTAAAGCATAGCTATTAATAACGAATCCTTAAATAGTGACATGAGGTGTAGAATTTGGTACTAAATCAGATATATCCGTTACACCTACAAAGATATGAATTTCAGAAATTATTGACATCGCCTTATATAGATATTTTTAACGTTTTTTGATGTGTGCCAATTAAGGCTAATAAAAGCTTTTATGCCTTACGTAACATACATAAGGAAATATTGGGTCTTGAATTATTTACTTTTATCAAAGGTAAAGTTCTATAAATCACAACTGTATCTTTTATTCAATCTGGTTGATTAGTTGGTTGCAGTGTCAGGTCAGTACATATCTTTCTACTGCCTTAATGTGCAATTATCAATTATCTTCTTAAGAGATGAGAGATAAATCTTAAGAGATAAAAAGATAAACTAAATAAATGTCTTTGAATTTAGGTAACTTGTACTGTCTAAAATGTATTTAACTATAAAAATGTTTCTTTTGGATACCAATATCCAAAAAGGTTTCTTAACATATAAGTTTCTATAACCTCTACAAAACAAACTATTTCTACTTTATCTGCAAATGAGCTTTTTTTGCCTTTGAACTGTTTTAAAAAAAAATATTGCCTACTAAATTAGTTGACCAAGTGGATTAATAAGCTAGATAAGATTTTTTTGTTTTAGTAGAAGCATTTTTAAATCGAGAATAGAATGATTATGTTATATATTTTTATAAGTATTTTATTGATTTGTCATTAGATAATTATTTTAGTATATTTCCTGGATGAAATAAGATTATGTATGGTCTAAATAGAATTCTAAATACGTTACCGTACCTGGGAAAAGTTATTCTGAATTCATTTGGGTACAGACAATAACTAACTGCCTACTTAACACTTGCCAAGCATAAAACAACGTGGCTTCAAATTACAGTTCTACTAAACTTTGAATATTCAATCCATTTAATTGTCCTATAATCTTGACTACTATTGATGTGAAAATTCGTACTAGTACTGAGCAAAATTCCTGAGTTTGGTTAGTGGTTAGTTTACTTTCCTTTCCTACATAATGAATGTTTAAACAATTTTATAGCTCACTATATAATTTTAGAAAATCAGTAAGTATTTTAATATTGAACTAAAATAAAATCAAAGTGATAGCATATATTGTTATAATATTGTCTGAATATTTTTACATATAAATGAATAAATGAATAAATGAAATGAATTTTAGTTTAAAAACATTCTTTTTATATATAACATCCTTTTGAGTGTAAAACTACGGACTTAAAATGAAAATATTTATAACAAGAGAATAAATTTATATTCATAGAAAACAGTTTGAAAAACATAAATAAGTGAAAAATATTTATATTTTAGTTTTATCTATGAACTCAAGTTTAAACAACAGAATAAACAAGAACAGGAGATACTTTTGTGCACTTATACTACGTATAGTGCCTGTTAAACGAACCGCATTGAACTTGTTGCATTAAATTTAAAATATGCAAAACTTTTTCACAACTTGCAGCAACAACCCTTCAGAATGTAGGAGTGTAGGAGTGTAGGAGGAGGCCGCATCAAGTTGCAATTTGCTTGTATCTCTAAACGCCAGCACAAATGCACCCAATGGCATTGCGGTTAAACACAAGCACTTAAGCCTCTTCCTTATCTATTGTACGGACGAATAGAAGGCATTTTTTGTACGAAAACACATGAGAGAAAACAAAAGTTTTACATGGAAATTTACACAAAGAATTCATTGTTGGAGATGTGCAGTAGTGATGGTGCGGATGATGATGACTGTGCCTGTGCCTGTGACTATGACGATGACTTTGTCTATGACTACTGACAATGACGTCCATGTTATTCTATAATGAAACTCATTTCTATGCAAAATTGATGATGATATTGATGATGATTCTGTGATAATATATAGAATATATTATGCTTTTAAGTTAATGACATTTTGCATTGAACAAAATCATTATCACAGATTATGGCAAATCGCAACAAAAGAATCTCTATAATCCTTTTGCTAAATATATGCAAAATAAATAACTAAATTAAATCTACATAAAATCTGTGATTTATGATATTTAGCTGAAGTACAAATTAAATCAAAAATATTAGATTCTATCTGTTAATATTATGCAATTAAATATATATTTCATATTTTATAATTTATAATATTTTATATACTAATATTTCATAATTGCCATAACTTGAACTTCTATAACTCTAGAAACAAGTTTTTCTATTATTTTAATGTTTATTGTATTTTTCTAAATCCAATAGTCAAACCACAACACCAAAATGTAATATTAGGTAGAGTTAGGTTATACCGGCTATCCTTAGAGGATCCATTTAAGCCTACTGGCCCATAGAGGAAACCGTACATAGAGGAAACCTCGTGGTTTAAAACCACCTAGAAACTTTAACGAATCTCAAAATGCTGTTTAATGTCAGATCTTCTAATTGATTAAGATGTTTAACAAAGTGGGCTCCTAAAGTATTGAGTCGCCGCCGTGCATAAGCAAGACATCTTTTCTTTTGTCACACACTGCGTCAGGTATGATTGAAAGGGAGATACTAACTTCTATCTTCTTCCCTAGTTTGCAGTCACTAAAATATAATATTAAACTTTCAAAAAATTTTTCATTTAATAAAATCAAAATGGAACGAGTTGAGGAATTTGTGGCACCATCCTGTTGAAACCAAACATCTTTAATGTCATATCTTTTACCGTACGTCAATAAAAAATTGGTAACTTGGTAACTGGGCTGTAGTAACCATAGTGATGAGAATTGTTTATTAAAAATAAAAAGTTCCGATAAAACTATGGGACCAATACATCTTCAGATCACATATCAGATCACGCAGTGAGTTATTGTGGATGCTTTAGTCTTTTGACAATTCGTTTCAGATTATTATTGCCACATAATATTTTGATCAGTCTGAATGTTAGAAAACCAAACAATTTTGATTGATTTTCATGTTAGAAAAATATTGCAGAGTATATTTTCTAGAGTTTCTTATTCCAGTTCTATTCACAAAGCAATGCAGAACCGAATTATTATAAAAAATTCGATCTGAAATGTGATCACTTCAGAATTACCTAACTGGTAATTTTTTACAATTTTAACAATTGTTTAACCGCTGATTTAATCAGTGTTTCTCAACGATGTACTCTTTGGGAATTTCGAAGTTTGGAAATTAAGATAGTAGGTGCACGGGAAAAAAATAGATCAAGAAATAGATTTGTTTCCGTATATACATATAGCAGCGCGTATGTATATTATGTATGTATATCAACTAAACATATGATACCATGGGTGGTAGAGTTCTGTTTTTCATATGTATGCTATTAAAAGAGTCCAGCAAAATCTCGATTACAAAATGGCATAACCTTTTAAATAAATAACTTTACCGACTTTTATATTTTAGATTAGAAAAATATTATCTTATTTTTAAATTAAAATGTTTTACTCTTAGAAAAACATAGTACCATACATAGTACATAGGGATGGTTTCTTATTTCAGTTCGATTTGTTTGATGTAATGACTTCCTTACTTTTTTATATCGTTTTTAAATAATCTCTTATATTATCGAATATAAAATCATAAAAAGAATATTACTCAAAATTTGACAGTAAATATCTATGGTAATGGTTAATGGGTTAGGATAAAGCCTTTATGCACTGATACTAGCTTAATTTATTGTACACCCATTTGTATTTAGATATTTAGTATCTCGAGGAATGGAACCAGGAGGGAGTTTTTAAAGGTCTTCATCTTCTAGTTGGTATGCACCTAAAATTTTGTTTTCTGTGGCCTAGTGTATCACAGTTGGTGATTAGATGTTCCATAGACTTTTTCTAATCTCAACAGAATCTGCAAATATTTGTGTCGGATACACCTATTTTGTGTAGGTGTTTATTGCAGCCGGCGTGGCCTGTTAGTGCACAAGAGAGCGACTTTAGACTCTTCTTGTTAAAGTTGAGAGCGATGTTTGCTCTTTTGTCATAAAAATTCATGTTTTTTCGGAATGATTTAGGCTGTTTGTTCCATTCCAATATTTAATGAATTTTTGTTGGATCTATGTTTTGATCCTCTGTTTTAGGTATGTTCTTTTTATTGAAGCCAAAGAAGAGGATTGGACCGATGAATGGCTCTCTTGCCAATTTTTTTGGCATAAAGATCAAAGTAATGCAATTTATAAAAGTTATTAAACTATGTTGTAATATAGTTTTGAGTTATTTGTGGTGAAATATAGAAAATTGCAGTATATGAAAGCTATGGAGGATTGGGTCAAAAATTGGTTTAGTTTGATTGGAATGAATGGCGCTTAATTTAAAGGCACAAAATAAATTTTGATTAATTGAACATTCTTTGTATATTATTTAATAATTCCGGATATATTGTACATTGACTGTAGTTTTTTTTTACATATAAATAATTTTTGTAATAATATTGGCATAAATTTCTCATTTTAAATAACATCTGAATTATACTGTATTTTTGTTTCAGTTTTAGAATAAAGATTCTGTAATCATGTGAGGTAATTTTATATTAAAATTTCTATGCAAGCAAAATATGGCCGAGTGCTTCATACTTAATTAATAACGTTAAAAATATTATTGGTGAAAATATGTTTTGAAATGCTTTATAAACATTTCTTATTTTATTTCGATATTTGCATATATATTTTAGTTAATTTAACAGTTTTCAGTACTTTAGTATAATTAGGGACATTGAAAATATTTATGATATACACTGCGTTATTTATGAATTTTAAAAGCCCATAAATTTAAAATCGTTTTTCGGTGGTAAATTGTTTATTCGAATTAAAAAATGTAAAAAAAAAACGAGAAAGAAATTGGAAATTATTTTACTGAATACATACATTTCAGATTTGGTTCTTTAAAATATTCAATATCCAATATACAATCTACAAAATACAATAAACACATGAAGTCTTATGTACTTAATTTTTAATACAAAATTATATGGAAAAGCAGGGCAGCTGAGTAAAGTGTAAAGAAATTAAATTGAAATGAAGTGTAAACAAAATTGCAGCTAACTCAACTAAATACGTCGTTCAATCTTCGGAGCATTCGAACACTTTAATGTTTAAGATACATTATGAATTTGTCTAAAATTAGACGAAAAAAAAACTTTAATATTCTGACAGACAATGTACCAAAAGTAAGGCGGCAGTAGTCATATAAAACCAGATAATAATATTTAAACAAAAGTTTTTGTATTTTTTTTTTATTTATAAACAAACTTCTTCGTAAAGCAATTCAGCAAAAAAAGTTGTAAAGCAATGTTATAGACAAATTTAAACTGAGTCAGTATTTAGGATACATTCTAGAAATCTACGAAATATAATAATATTTTTGAATTAGATACATAATATATATATATATATATATATATAGATATTGAAAACATTTAATGTTTTAAATTTAAGCAAAAAAGAAGGTTACTCGTATGTTCAACTCAGTCGAAGCATCAATATGTTTCACATATTTTGCATTTAAAATAACTAATTAAATACACATTTATTAAAAATATATTTTAAATCTATATTTTATATAGTTTATTTTCTATTCGTATACAAATATATGTATATATAAAGATGAGATACATTAAGTCGCAAAAGCTACAATGAGCTGCTCATGTAGCATGATTGAGACCAGAAAGAAAGTCAAAAATGGAAATTGCACCATAAATGAATCTCGATTAAAAAGATACTCCAAATTTAGCAATCAAAAACGCTAATAGTGTCTAATACTAACAACCATTTCGTACAAAAAGTTGACATATAGCTACATAAAAATATTTCTATAATGTAATGACATGAGGTTTATTGTCTATTTTTCGTAATGGATTTTCGAACTAAAGATTAAAATAGAATATTTATTTTTTAAAACTATTCAGTCCTTATTATAAATTTAATAATAAAGAATTGATTTACAAGTTGAAGCCACGTCAAAGTGACTAAAATTCTTATGCTATAAATTTTATACTTAAATTATTAATACACTCCAAAAGTCTTAATCTTATAGACGTTGTGTACAGATCTACGACTAAATGGGTTCAAAACAATGTGACAAAAAAAAGAAATAAAAATAAATGCTCCTAAATGGGGTTATCAGATCCCTTACTTATTGTCAAAAATAGATGTCGGTTTTAAGCCGGTTTAAGCCGGTTTATATATGGTATAGTTTCGGTTATAACTTTTTTTTGAATAAGAAGAAAAAGGTTGTTCCAGTTCTTATCAAAAAATTCGTTATTTCTTAGGTTACTTAAAACGTGAGTTGACCTCTGCTTCAGTAAGAGTTTTAATCCCATTTCTTTTCCTGCAGTATATATAATAGATATAATAGTTGAAAGTTTTTTTTACTAAAACAAACAAATAAATTCAGAGTTCAATATACTATAAAATCGGTATTAATGCTATAGTTATACTACCAGCTTAATAATTTAATATTTTTATTAACAATGGATTGTTGTTCTTATCTATCATATTTACTAAAAGCTATTAGCGAAACTATCCATAAGCGTTCAAGAACTGTAAGTGAGACTGGAACTTATTGTTGCAGGACAAGTGCCAGATATAGTTCTTTAATATGTCGTCTACAATATAATGTTGTTTATATCTATATAATATCTACATATATCATATCATATCTTTATATATCATATCACATCTATATATATCATATTATATCTATATATATCATAATATATCAATATATACCATAACAAAAAACTTATTTATTTGTTGTACTCATTTTGTTATACACAGCTCTGTATATCATATCTTATCTGTATATAATATACAGTATATCAATAATATAATACATTATTTTATAGATATTAATAATATATAATATATTATATGTCTGTCAGTTCGAAAAATTAAATTTTTGTTTTTACTGTATAAGCGATGTAAAAAAGGATTTATATTTAGTCTAACGTCACGTTGGTTTATTTTTTGATTATTTTGACTAGGATACATAATTTTTCTTTTCATCAAAAAACATTTGGGTTTTTTTAATACCAAATACATATATCTAAAAGTGTGAAATTTATTACGTTTCTTATACAATTTAAATAATTATTCTAATACATATTCCATACATATGATGTAATCAAAACTTATACATCCTGTACATCAACACTTATATGATATAATCAAAACTTATACATCCTGTATATCTACACGTAATCATCTGAAATCAGTTCAGGCTATAGACAAGTTTGAACTTCAACTATCAAAAAGTGAAAAGCACTTGTTGTCGATTCTTGGTAGAAGCTGATAACTTACTGTTGCATTTGTTTGAACTGCAACATAATTTTTCTAAATTATGTTCATATATATTGTATATTAATTAATATCTATGTTTAAATTTGACATGTCATTAAAGTATAGATTTAAACTTACCCAGCAAAAGTAGTTTAATATCTTTTGCTGCTTGTATGCCATCTTCTTTCAGATTTCTTTCTATAAGACGGCTTCTGGCGGCTGCGGCTCTTTCCTCTGCAGACTGTGCGCAGCCCATTGTGCGTATTGCCTCGACACAAAACGTTTTGAAGGTCGTTTAAATCGGCCTAGATTGGCCGAAACTTGCCAGACGGGAAATCAAACAAATTTACAAGAATTAAGAATAAGTTTTGTACGGATAAGGTTATCGGCGGGTCTAATGGACGCTATTTCTTTAATCAACACTTATAAGCTTAATTTATTTTTCTGCAATTTTTCTCTATTAATCGATTAAATGTTTGTCAAATTTTTAAAAACATTTCATTTATGCATTTAAACTGCAAGTAAACATGATTTAAAAAAAAATGGTAATTATTTTATTCGAAATAAAATCGTATTTAAATGGTAAAGGGTCGAACATATAATATATATGTACTATTTAAAAACAATTTCGAATTTTCGAAAAATAAGTTTCGAATTTTTAATCGTACTCTGTGCTTGCTCTCTGCACTCATTGAGAAAATATTCTTCAACCCCCAAAAATGTTGAATGTTGCTCAATTGTGGAAATTAAAAATTTAGCAAAATGCGAAATTGAGTTAGAAAGTTTTTAGTTATTGGGATTTATTATTTATTAAAAATAATTTATATATAATATTAAGATATAGTGAAAATGCCAATTTAACAATAATGTTTCTTACTCTATTGTATAGAGTTTTTGATTGTATAAAAAGTATTAGGCATGTGATTTACGATATTAAGGAGTTTTAATCAATTCTGGTGGTTAACGGAAAATTCTCGTTGATATAAAAAACTGCACATACGTTAGATAAGTTTATTTTTTTTTTGTTTTTTATGTATAAAAATGAAAATTCGATATTAAATAATAACGAAAATAAATATGCGATAAAAATGTAGATAACACTTGTGTTTTTATGACTTGGTAAATCTTCATTTGGCACAATCTCTCGTGCAAAGTACGGAAATATGGAATACGGTGCAAGCTTATTTACAAATGGGAGCGAATATGAATATTTTTCAGACAAGTACGTCCACCAAGCAGTCGACTGAGCACAAATGTATAATTCCAAAATATATGAATCATTCGCACATATTTCGATATACAGAAAATGTATCCACAAAAATTTAGTATGAATATCTTCTATTTTTCCTAATGTAATTATGAGCTCTCTTAGGCATTCAATATTTTTAATTGCTCTTTTAAATTTTTAATATCCATTGTTAGTAATAAAACTTTATTTTATTTTATTTTATTTTGTTTAAAATTTTCAGTTTATTTAATTCACATCACACAAATATGTCAGTTTTATTATATCGCGTAGGTGTAGTGCCAATCAATTTGATGAAGAATAAAAAAATTTTTTTCCACAGAAATTTTTTCACAAAAGGATGTTTTCAAGGTTTTTTCATGTTTACATTCACTTCACAAATTAATAAAATTAAATAAAGAATTTTTATTGCAATTATTATATATTCCTTTTTAAATTTTATTTAATTTACTTTTTTATAAATTAATAAAATTTTCACAACTAAAAACAAGCAATGAATTTAATATAAAATCGTACGAGCAATTGAACGGAGCCGCCCTAAACGACGTACGTACACCAAAGTCATGTAAAAATTTTCATAGCATTGCGTATGCGAATCCATGAAATGAAAAAAAAAACAACTCTTAAATAAATAAAAAAAACAATATATATGAAATTCCTCAATGGAAATGGAAACTCTCAGCGATACACAATTGCATACAGTCCGTGTATAGTACGACGAAAGAGCTTTGGTTATAAAGCTGTGAAAGCATATAGCACACAAACCCGAACGAACGACTATTTAAGAGGGAATAAAGAATAAACAAAAAAAAAAAGTGCTTCAATACGATTTCAATAGAACGCCACTGCCACTGCCACCGACACCGTCACCGTCACAACTCGCCACTGGCACGGCACAAGCACTTGTTTGTGTTGCGTGCTGGAAATTCGAAAACTCCCCAAAAACGAGTGTGAAAAAGCACAAGAACAAGAACGTTTCGAAAATGGAATTTCATTTATTTTCTCATGGTTTTCGCTCTGCGCTTAACGCATGTGCCATATGACCTGCTGCTACTTCTGATTCTGGAAAACATTTATCCATGGCACTCAGATGGCAATGATGGTATTTTTTTTTTTTTCTTTTTGTGTTTCGCTTTTCTTCACATTTTTACTCGTACGTACTACTATACACATTAAACTGTTGTGCGAGTTGTGTGTCCCAAAGGTGGTGTGATGTGGTGTGGTGTAGATGATGAGTTTTCGCTGCTGTTGTTCTTGTTGTTGTTGTGATAATAGTTAAGTTGGCGTATTCTGGCTTAAGAGCGGTGCTTAAGTTCTAGATGTGCAACCACTAAAGAGTGCAGCTCTATTAAGTCAAATCTGACAGCAATAATGAATAATTGTGTAAACTGAAGTTGCTGTAGTGGCACAGGCGGCATGTGCTGCGGTGTTATAATTCAATTTACTGACATAATTCCATGTTCGAATATAGGTAATTTCAATAAAAAAAGCTAATAAGTTTAATTTTATTTTATATGTACTTATATATAATATTCCATTTTGATTTGTTTTTCAACCTGACTCATATACATTCTTATTTTATATTTCTATTTTTTCGACTATACCATAGTTCATATTATGTACAAGTAAAGACTTTGTTATTTGTAGGAGGGCTGTTGGTTAGTTCCAGTGATAGGCCATTAGATAACTTCCATATACCTCAATTAGCGATGTTTCACCATTTTGCTACCATATTCCTCGCAAGAACCATAGTATAGAAGAGAGTAGAGA